AATGACATGTAATTCTGGAAATATCGTAAGGCAAATCTCATCTGGTGCACATTTTGCTAGTAATAATGGAAAATTCTGAAAAATCGTGTTGTTTCTACCTTAAGTTAATAGATGTTAATTGGAAGGCAGCAGTCGTAAGAAAATATAATTTAGTGAGAGAAAACTGACCTTTTCATAAAAAGGATCCCTCATTTGATATAATGGTACTGTATTCTAAATCAGTATCCCACTTTTGTACATTGTGTCCTGAAATAAAAGCATCATATAATTCATTCCAGAATTATTAACCCTAGTGGGCTTCCTAGAGGTTGGCTACTGATCACTTGCCTTAATTTATTAAATACAACTCAAACTAATAAGGAAAAGTGCATTTTACTCTAGACCTTTTTTGAAAGTTGTGAATATTCTAACCTGCTGGGCTCTTCCCTTGTACTCTGCTTTGCTTGCACAGTATATGTACCACAATCCTCCTGTTCTACCTTTGCATGTGCACTCAATGGCTGAAAACTTATAACAGCCATTGTTTTCGCCATATGTTGCCTATAACTGTGGTGTGATCTATTAATACATTGTACTTGTTGACAATCACAAAGACAAGAGATGTCAACATGTTTGTAAATGTGTCTTGAAAAGATGACTTAAGCCTTTAACATGTTGTAATACTGGTAAATGCAAAGTGGTTCTGAGAAAGACATTGGTTGGCCAGTTTTATTTTGAAAGCTTGGTACTATGTACTTAAAAAGCAAGTATGTTTGCCTGATGCTTCACCTTCTTTTCTTACACTCTGGCTTAGCAAAGCACAAAGATTTTTAATTTTTTTTGGCCAGGCGTGACATAAGTAAACATTTTGAAATAAAAATATCTAAATCCCTGAGCAGATACTATTTTCCGAAGTACCTCAGTTGCGATTTCATTTTTCATTAGTAGTCGTTAGTTCAGACTTTGCTTCTTACAGGCTTCATTTTTTTGAGGACACATTAGGTTTTTGATTGTGCTTCAGAGAAGAAAAAAGAGAAACTCTTTCAAGGTAGAGTATTAGGACAAATACTGTTTTCTCTGTGTTTTTTACTATTATTTAGAGCCATTGTTGTCTCTTAACATTAGCAGGTAGTGCCCGTTGCCTGTAAATCTGCGGTAATGTTTTGGCCCTGGTGTTGTTCGCGCATTAACCCCCAACCACTCTTTCTGTTTTCTGCTGATGTGCATCTGTTACCTTGTGTAGCCACCCACCTGCGGTGGCTTTGGTCTGAAGCCATTGCACCAAGTCTATTACTCATTGAGTAGATTCTTTTGATTTAATTGGGAACTAATTGTGTGACAGATGCATGTAAGTAAAGATCACACGAAGTGTTTTGAGTGTGCACAGTAAGAGAGTGCCAAGTGAATATATTCAACTGTACACTCTTGCTTGGGCCCCGCTGTCACTAGCTTGCTGGAAAGTCTTTGCAGAAGATAAAATCAAAGGTGTTCTCTATTAAAATTTCAGTGCACTTGGATGACAAAAGCAAAATGCCTTATTGCGTCTTTCAGCCATTTTTCAATATCTGTTTTCAAAGAACAGTGAGAAAAACAGTGCATTGTGAAATGTAGTTCAAGTTTTCATTTACATTATGTTTCTTAATGAATACTACTGCATTAAGAATTAGACCTTTCCCAAAGGTCTGTAGGAGCTCTTTGAGTGTATGTATCCAAAATTGCTTTCCCATTCTGTTTCTCTGGAGAGTTTGCTTGGTACCTTCTCACTGAAGAGTCCCCTTTGTTTACATGACTTGCTTAACCTTTCTGAAAGGGATCAATTGCAAACTATATCCAACGAAATTAGAACTGCTGTATTCCTTCCTCCTCAGTGCTGATACTCATCCAATCCCATGCAGAGTATATGAAGCTCACTAATCTGGAAACAAAAAACCAAAACAACAAAAAATGAAGTTAATTCTTGTAGTACATAGGCCTTCTGTCAGGTTACCAAGTTGGTCTGGCTCACTTGGGCCAAATCAGACTGACTGTGCTCATCTAAAGGAGGCAGAGGGAGGGTTTGTGCCTACCAGGGAGCATGGCAAAATTGCAGCAGCTCCTCTTCACTCACATTGGCTTAAACTTGTTGCAGTGCTGTATGCCCTCTGTTCCTTAGTGCCCCCTTGGATAAATAATCATCCATATAGTACAGCCACTTGTTCAGTTGCCAATCTGCCTTTCATCTGCCTCTCTGTCTTCAGATAGTGCTTCTTTTAGGTTAGTCTTGTGAAGTTTCATAAAGATAATCACTGTCACTGGCATTTTGAGCTGTGCCTTCAAATGGTACGTTTGGTTTTAGTATTTATGCTTCTTGAACTGAAAATACACTCCATTAGAGTAGCTGGTCACCTGAACACTGTTCATCAACCAGAAGATCTTTGGAGCAGTGCTCTTTAAAAAAAAACCCCAACAGATATATGTCTGAAAAGAACAAGTTCTTTTCATAGCATGTGTATGTTTACTATATGTTGCTTACATACACTACTGTACTTTCAGAAGAGCTCCGTTTTTTCATGGACTTGAAGCAATATCGGAGTTCTTAGGGTAGTTCTTGCTTTTAGTGCCTACTCAGTTCAGAAACTCTTGAAGTGGAGAGAGCGTTGAGGTTTGGATTTGACACTGCTCACAACTGTTGTTGCATATAAAAAGTTGTTATTTAAAAGAAAAAACACTCACAAAAAAACCCTCTACTCCAAACCTGCCAGTTTGTTTATATCTTAACACTTTTTACATAATTTTAAAGAATTTGAATGTTGGTAAAATGTTCCCCTGGCACCTGTCAATGGGGAGGAAAGGATGTTTTACAGTCATTATAGTATTGGGTTTGAGCTTTGAATTGAGCTCATCCTTATTTTAGGTGATATATTGAATCTCAATGTAACCTTGATAAAGAGTAGTGTCAGGATATAGAGCTAGTCTTTAAAGTGTGTTTAGAGAATAGTGGGGGTACATTGATTTAGCTGTAGAATTAAGATTGTGTTAAAGACTATGTAAAATTACTTCCTTTGGGTGTTAATATTCATAAAAGTTTAAAGTAATCATAAAAGGTAAAAACAGTGCAACTTTATGATTATAGATAAAAATTGAACTGTTTTCTAAGTATGTATCTCTTCTTTCTCAACAATTGTTGGATGTAGTGAGAGGAAGAGAGACAAGATGTAACAATTAATGCATCATATGTACAGAACAAAAAAAAAAACCCACCAGCTGTAGGCATTATACTGAACAAGAATTTGCTTTTGTCCCATCTATCTTTTTTATGTAGATAGCGTTTACTCGTTTGTATTGCATTTTGAAAGACTTGTACCCACTAATGGATACTTGGTGGTGGTGGTGTTTTTACTTTTAAGCTGAATATGTTTATGTTAGTCTTTGTATCTCTTGGAAATATGTCCTTTCAGAAAATATATGTTTCTGCACAGTTTAACCTACATATGTATATGGGGTGATTTGAAATCAATCCATTATCAAGCAACAGAATTATACTATATCCTAATGATTTGAGGTTGTTTCTTTTCTAGAAGAAATAATCAGCTTCCCCTTCAAATCTTGCTGGGACAGCAGCTGCAGATGAGAATGAGCTTCCATATTTAATACGTTCTATTAACTTCAGACATACAAACACACACACACTCACTCCTGCACCCCAGTGTCACATTATAGGTGAACAGGCCCTAATTAAAAGCACGCACCATCTGCCAGTGTGCGGCAGCAGAGTGGCACTCCATTACCATCCTGATTCCTGTGATTGAAATGTATTATTTATGAGCTCAAAGAGAAAATACACTGCTTGGCTGGTGAAAGCTGCATTAGGAGCTGGATAGCACCATCTAATGGAACAGAGTGCCACTGGCTATTCATCTTCCCTCTTCTTCCTCTCCCTTCTTCAGTCTTCTCCTACAATAATTTTATTTTTCAATGTTGTCTTCGCATTTTTTGATAGTGTTTTAGCCAATTTTGTCTCTCAAGTTCCACTGTTATACAAGATTGAAAAGGGTTGTTGAAATATTAAACTATTTATGGTATTTGCAGCAGCCTTTTGTTTCTTTCCAGTGCCACATGTAGGGTTTTACTTTCTGGAGTAAAAGTGATATTGATGTGATGTGGTGGTACAGAATTGGGACACTATTGAGATAGCTGAGCAGGATTAGTTTACTGCCATTTCTCCTGCCCCTCCCAAAGACCCATGTAAAGAAAGTATCTACCTCTAAGTCTGAAAATTTTATTTTAATATGGAAATGGGCCCCATTTTGTATTGAGCAGTATTCTGCAGACTGCAGTTGGAAAGAAGAGGCAGTTGGAAAAGGCTACAGCTTTAGATCTTCCTCTCTGAAAGCAGAGATCATAGCATCTTCCTGCTTGCAGAATAATGTCCTGTTATTGCTTCTTAGTGAGGAAATGGGTGAGGAGATGTTGGAATGAGAGGTGAAATATACCTTGGCAGGAGAAGAAAAGGATGACAGGGAAGGAGTCCTTTTTGTTATGGCTGGTCCATCAGTCTGCCTTTGTTCACTGCTAGTTTACAACATCAGACCTAGTAAAAATATATAATGTATTTAGTGGCTAGCTCAATGACCTTTAAAATATGCAGGTTAAGAATAGTCATACTGATTCAAAATAATCTGGGAAATGACTTTCTGGTCCTTAGGCTTTTGTTTTGTTCTTGAGCTTTGCAGTATTCATGCCTGGCATCCAACAGTATTGTTACAGCACTAAGGATGGATTGATATGTGAAATATTAAATGTTTCTACAACAACTTCCAGTAAACCCACTTTTTTTTTTAATTAAAGAATCTGGACACTGTTTGAATTCTGGCAAGACAAGACCCTGAATAAAAAGATATAGGAATAAAATTGGGCAAAATATGTATGTGTATGTGTGTGTATGCATTTTTTTCTTTACATTAGCTTGTTTTAAGGAATGTTGAAATTTCATAAATTGTGGCACACCTGTGAATACACATCTTGCTATTGTTTGTGTTTAGAACGTATGCCATCAGAAGGATAAGAGATGCCTTCAGAGAAAACAAGAATATAAAGGATTCTGAAAAAATAGAAGAACTAGTGAACAAAGCCAAAGCAAACCTAGAGGTTGTTCGTCGGCAGGTATGTTTATTTCTCTCATTTTATCTAAGAGTTGTACCCTCCTCAGTTAACTATCTTATGCCACCGGAGGTGGAAAAAATAGATCCTTGCTCAAAACATCCATAGATGAATGTTGATTTTTGTATGTCTGAGTTTGAAATCATGGGAAACATCTGTTTGTACATGATGGTTGCAATAGGGGGATTTAGGGTTGTTGGTTCCATTAACTGGAACAGGCCTTGCTGTCAAAAGTTTATATGCTCTTGTTACCTTCTCTGCTGTTTGTTTTGCTGTCTCTTCACTCTGCTTCTCTATTCTGCCCCAATTTTCCTTTGAATCTATTTCCTCTAGGTTATGTGTATTAGATTCCTTTCTTCAGCCTTTCCTCCTCACATCATTGGATGAGTGTGACACTTCAAATAGTCTTGCTTTCTTCCGTGTTTGTTTTTTCCTATGTCCTGATACAGTGTTAGAATGAAAAAATCCTAAAATGAATTAAGTAAATTCTGGGTAAATGTGTCCATACAGCACGATACATTTTTCTTTGGATTATTTGAGTCGCTGGCAATATTTTTCTTGTCTGAGTAGCATTTATAACATCTCATTTAGACCCAAATTAAGACTTCGTTGAACTTCAGATACTTTTTAACTTCTCATACATACCCACTGTCTGTCTACAGTGACCACTGGAAATTGGAAGGAAGCAAGTTTCTACATCTGAACTCTCTAAGGGCACTTGCAATGCTTAAGCAGTTCCTCCTTGCAAAATCTTCACTTGCTGACACCAGTCAACACTCAGTAGTACTTTTATTAAGCATCAAATGAATATGTGCACCTGTTCCTCCATGGTTTGTTTTAACATGCATCTTTAAACAAACCACAGGTCAGTTAGATGGATTCTTATTTCAGTAGGAAGCTGGGCCCTTTGATTTGACAATTAAGTATGAATACTTAGGTGCAACTTAAATTATTTCTTTGGCGTGTCTTCTTCCAGGAACAGGTGTTGTTTTGTGCTACCATAGTTTTGCTATCTTTTTTTAACCTAAACACTGCTATTTTTGTATTTTAAGTGTTTCTCGAAGAAACAATTCAGATTGGATTGCTACAATGCAATTGCATTTAAATGTTATGGTGTTTTTTCTCATATCTGAAAGTGATAATTAGTCTTTTCAGCTCTTATTTTTGAGGTTTTGTCTTGGAGAGCCTTGACATCCTTGAGACATCTCCAGGGTAGTACTAGAGGCTGGAGAAGAAAATGAAGGAAGGGGTGTCACAGGAGAAGAGTCGGGTATCACTTGTACAAATCTGACCTAGTAGTTAGTCTCTTGAGTTCTAATCAGTAAATTTATGTATGTAAAATACTTAATTATTACAAACAGATTGGCGGTCAATGCTCCACTACATACTACCCTTAAAGTTAGTATGGGATACAAAAATTACTGCTTAAGCTTGCTATATGTATCTTAAATGTTACATATAAGCAAAAAACATCAGTTACCAACCTGTTGATGTCTGGTGTCAGGTAAGGTATCTCTCAGCCTCGGTACCACATGGGGTAGCTCGCCTTGAGAAGCATCCCTGCTCAAGGGACAGTGGCTATGGAGGGACCTCGTGGCTGCAGATATTTATAGCGTAAAGTCTGTGAGGTGGAGTCAGATCTTCTGCTGTGTTAATGCACTTAACACAACCTGTCTCCAGGTTTTTTGAGAGTGTGGTGCTGAGTTCTCACCAATAGCATCACACAATAGGATTAACTTCATTTATGCCTTCTTGCTGTGCATCTGCCTGGACCCAGGTTCAGTTGTTGAAGTATCTCTTAAATCAAATCTTAAATGTCATGCTTGTAGAAATTTTCCAGACAAAGTATAAGCGTTCAGTTTTGGAAGGGTTTATCTTACATGTTTCCAGGAGTAACAGACAGTAACACACAGAGTAACATAATACACAATGGAACTTTTTAACAAAAAATAATCTGATAAAAGAAAATTATTTTATCAAGATAATTCTTTTTACACAAATCCCTGTAAGACTTGATGTTTGGGTAATAAAGATTTTTTTGCTGTAAAAAATTGAGAACTTTTGTGCTTTGCAGAACTTCTGTTGTGTTTCAGTGTCACTCACTTTCAGCTGTAAAGCAAGAGATAAATATTGTAAAAACAGCAACTGTCTTTAAAGCCAGTTTTTCATTGGGACTATTAAAAACCTTAGCATCTAAATTCATATTAATATTTACTTGCTCTTAAATTTCATCATACTCTGTGGAAAAAAATTCATTCTTCCTCCCCATTTAATTGAAGATCTAAGTAATGAAGTCATCTGGCATTATTAAGACTTTATATTTAAAACTAACCAAGCATAATATAAAGTGTTTTTATTTTTAAATGCAGAAGTACTGAAGCAAACATGAGATGTAGCATACAGTTTTTTGCTAAGTTTGGGGTTTATTATGATGTAGATCATCTTGGTATTGCCGACTTTTTCATAGTATGTTGGTGGAAATTAAATAATATCCCTCTTTGTTGACAATTTATTGTTACTCTAAAATCAAATTTATATTCACTTTACATTCTAATTTATGGTTTAGTCATCAAAGTGACCATTGAAGTGTAAGGTTCATAAATAACTATTTGAATCAGCCTAGTGGAAAATGTGAAATAGTGA